AAAAATCACTGGAAATACGAACTGTGATTGTTTTTCTCATTCTGTGGATTTGACAGCAAGAGGGTTCTACATGTACATCGATTCATCGAAGCCAAAACGTCAAGGCGATAAAGCTCGAATAGACAGTACCAAAGCAATTGCACCTGCCACTGGTGCCTGCGTTAGATTTTGGTATCACATGTACGGGAAAGGCATAGGGTCCTTAAGGATGTACACAGGTGACGACAAAGGGGGTCTTGGCCCCTTACGTTGGTCAAAGAAGGGTAACTCTGCTTACGTGTGGCGTGAAACATCGATTGACATCGACCCTAATAAGGAATTTTGGGTAAGGAACTAAGCAACTTTTGATAATTATACATCATTCCTAGTGTAAAAATGGTTATTCATGAATATGTCAGTTTCCCTATTCAACAACTCCTCATATAACCGTTTATTAACATGCAATAATGCTAAATCACGCGCTGGCATCTATCTGTGAAACAGTTTAATCGATTCGGGTTGGTCAAGACTCTGCACGCACGCGACTCGTCACGCGCGGGCACGCCAAATCCATAAAACAAGATTCTTCTGGACTACTTGCACAAGGAATACACCATTAAATGGACGGGGGTAATAGGGGAAATGACAGTACAAGATCCTTGGAAATGTATCATATATTGATTTCCTTTGACACTCTGACTAAAATGGTATTTATGAACGGGAGTAAATATATGCTTGAATTAAGACCGCACTATGGGACCCAGATTCCAGGTCAGTCTGACCCAGGTGTTTCTAGAGCGCGGCTCAGAAGAATGAACGTTAATACTAGAGGGACTTTACATGAGCGATGTGTGCGCATAACCAAGGATCTTTGTGCTGAGCTTCGTCGAGCACCCACGGACTCGACACAGTGCAAGCAGTATAAATGCAGATACATGCGCATCACAGGTACGTCAGTTCGCGATAAATCGCCGTTATTATTATTTTTTTTTGATGTTACGAATCTTATGTTCTGGCTGCATACACATAGCTCAAAACTGATGCAGCCAGAATCGGACAGAATTTCATGACTCAGTCGTACGTATCATGAAAGAATAATGCCTTATGAACTCTAGGTTATTCAGCAAAACGATTGGCAACTAGTATTAGGAAAGTCAAAGTGGAGGTTTTCTACGTTTCCTCAGACCAGGGAGTAACGTTATATATAAGCGACAATGGGTCTAGGATCGAGTCATCAGTGTTATAATCGAGACCATCACAAGACATAAGACCGGATACAAGACCAGACACAAGGTCATGCACAAGACCAGTCACAAGTAACAGGGTGAACAATGACAAAGGAATGCTTTTGTTGCACTTCATTTTAATAGTTTGTGACTTGCATGTAGACTATGGGTCTTGTGTTAGTCTTGTGTTGGTCTCGACTACAACACTGCGAGTCATCCTGAAAGACTCTTCCATCAAAATTTGCAGCCTCAAAAGTTTGAAATTAAAATGTATTTTTGTGTCTGAACTCCTTACTTTCAGTCGTCTGATCTTAACACTTTGTGGCAGACAGTGCATAGGTATCGTGTATGTCTAGCCGCACTGTTGTTGACGTGCATGTGTAGCTGACACTTACAGCCTCGTTTTCAAACGCGGAGGTGCGCGCATTGATGCTAAACGCGTTGTAGTGGGATCCTTCTATGCCTTCGCCTGCGGCGTGGGCATTAGTCGCGTCCATTCTCCTGAGCCGGTCACCAGCGAAGCACATATATATTCCCTTATTAAAAACCTTTCGTGATAATCGCAAAATTGTTTGTTATAACCTCATCATTGTTCACAAATCAGTTTGAACTAACGACATACTGGCTTGCATTTGGATTCTATATACAGATTACTTTCGTAGCTGAATGCGGCTTGAGTTTCCTGAGCGACATAGCTATCGATGACATAAGCGTACAGGAAGGACCGTGTGATACATGTACGTACATGTACTTGCTTCCCTTGGTTCAGATGTAGGCCTTTGCGTACATCATCAGACTAGTTTCAACTGATTTTTTAAGACCCTTATAATGCGTCAGGTGTATTTCACGTAATATATGTTTTGTAATGTTTGGAGAATAAATCCCTGTATGGTGGACCTCAGTATGGACGAGATTAAAACGTGTGTCTTTCTTTCCTTATGCAGCTTGATTTCTCCTGAATGTGACGCATCTGAATGAAAAAAAGAATCATGAAATAGTCTTTTCGTTGAGCTACTAGTCGACAGCATTCGCGAAACTCTGGTGGTAGCGATTCAACACGGTGTTGCTATTGCTTTGTCACTATGTTTCGATGCTAAACATAAGATTCCAATTCTTAAACCTCACTGTTCACTGGCTAAACATCCATCAAAACTTCAAAAATATTCTGCATATATGTTTACAAACTGATTTAGAGAAAGCGCGTCGAAAAGTGTTTAACAACTATACACAGTTTCTGCAATTAGACTGGCTTTCAATTGATCATTTAGTTTTAAATATTATCCCAATAGGCAAGTATAGGTTTCTTTTCCTTCGCTTATGTCGTAGTTCATTCAGAAAGTATTTCAAGTTATAAATTATTTTATTTAAGCATGCCAATCTGGACTCCCGATATTTGTTGATTTTTAAGGTATATGACAGTTGTCGGTACAGATTTTAATATTTGATAATGAACTTACGAACTAATGAAGTTATTTCAGTTTATTTTTGAAATTTTTAAAGGCGATATCCCCAGATATTGTAGCCTTTATTAAAATTCCCTTCAAAACACGGTTTTCAACGTGTACAATTCAGCATGCTAATGTTACTTTTAAATATAATTAAACGAACGCATCGCAAACCGAATTATGCCTTCTCGTTTCGCAAATAATAATTAAGTGAATTGAGTGATGCAGAATGCACAAAGACAATCAGTTCACATGGAGTATTCCTCATAAATTTCTCTAACATTTCACAAATTCATTCTTTTGTTTTTTGAGGTAAAGGTTTTCACTTGTGTTTCACTCTTTTGACCTGCCCCTGTGGTAATTTCTAAGGTTGGTGTCATTAAAGGATTAATCAAGCTACAACTTATTTGCCCGGTGTTCTCCCAGTCTTTCCATTTCGAATTGTCACATTTACGAGTACTTTGCCAGCCATATTTCGAGAAATTCAGTATGAATGATTGAGTTTGTCATTGCTAACCCCGTCAGGACTGGTCTTGAGAACGGA